CCCCAAACTGTCGCTACAACGAGACGTCTCTTGCTACAACGAGAATGTGACAGTTTTGGTCCTTCCTCCTAGGGCCCTCGCACTACAGCGAGAATCCTCTCGCTGCAGCGAGGACAGCCCAGAATTACACCTTGCACTTAGGCCTTAGCCCATTTTCAGCCCAAATAGTCCAATCCCATCAATTATACATCCACACATACACACATATATATACATTTAGATTTATATAATTAACAATAATTAATTACAAAATTTGAGGCGATACACAAAAGCTAACCGGTAACTATCTATACTTATGGAAGACCTCAAAGGATCTTAGAGGCAATAATTGTGAATTGTGGGATGTGTGATTATAATAGGTGAGTCATAACAATTTGATTAGTGTGATTATAATAGAAGTATTATAATACATCGACGGGTATAATTATAATGCATGTATCATAATTCATTAATTAATATGATTATAACCCACTTATTATGACATAATGATCTATGAAATAAATAAAATGGTATAGAGTCAAGGATGGAATGATTCAGTTTGGTTATGTGTGAAATATTGTGTATTGAGGTGATTGTTATGAAGCTTCATCTGCTGTAGGTTCATTAATATCGTACATGAGCTAGTACTATTTTGACATGTATTTTATATTAAATAATATTCTATGTATTACTTGATTCATTTATAAGATAAAGGATTTAGTGGGATAGAGGATACTCACCCTTATGAATTATTTTCTAGAAAATAAAATTGAAGAATAAACAAAGGTTGATCCATTCTAGGATCATATCCTCGGTGGAATTATAAGGAAAGCTATTCTGTTAGGACTAAGATTAATTTTGAAAATTGTAATAATTCTAATTTAGTTTTCATTCAAAGTTGACAAGGATATATAACCATTTTCATATTATTTATAAATTTATAATATTTTGATAAGTTTTTTTGTAAATAATACTTTGAAGTGTATTTGTAATTTTGATAATTAGCTATTTTTAATTTGTAGTTTTCATCCAATTTTAGATATAAATTTACTCTGTTGAAAGGTAGTGTTGATCATTTTTAAGTTATATGCATGTAATACGAATTAAGAAAAATATAAGGCTGTAAATTTTAGTTTTTAATCTATTTGTAAATTTTAAATTTTAAAAACTTTCTCTTGTAATGTCACGACCCCTTTTTATAAGGAACCGATAATATTATTTTTACACCACTTACTTATTTAAGATAGATAAATAATAGAGAATATAAGTATAAAATTCACTTTTCATTCAAAATAAACAAAGTTCCTTACAACAAATATCCAACAGAACAACATAATATTACATTTTTAGTTCATAATACTCAAAATACACAAAAATTATACTACATAACTCTCTCTATATGAGGTCTCAAAATATAAGAAAAAGGACTTTAATGTCAAATTACTTGACTCCAGCTTTCTAACACTTCTTTACTAGCCCCTCAGCCTATAAAGTAGATGTAACACCTGCTACATCTACTCACGTACCACCATATGATCATCACAATAAACACGCACATAATAGCATAGACAGAAATGAAAGGGTGAACTTACAAAAAAAAATCATATATAGAGAGAGCAAAATATTACTCATAGCAATAGTCACATGCATTCCTAGCCCATCTAATGCACAGTAGGAAAATGGTTTTAACTGATTTCACAATCTAAGTAATCCAGAAGGAACCGAGCCGGTCTGAAAGCGACCCATTCTAGTATTTGGATCAATACAGTACAACACAGCACAGTTCAACATGTTCTATCGTTACACGTCTACTCACCTAAATGCGTAACTTGGCTCTATAATGAAACAAGACATATATCTCAATATGATGCAACACAGATAAAATCATATTCTCAATAGATCAGCAAAAATAATTAATAATATTTTAGCCAAATCTCAGCATTTTAAATCAACTAACAGCAGTTATAGCATAGAAAATAGCTTTTATCCAAGAGATCTGACAAAATCATCTCAAAACTTCTTGTAATAGCATATCAAAATGTTCCAAACATCGTTTAATAGTTAAAGTAAGTTCCCCTTACCTTAGAACAACAATTCACACTAGATCTACCGAATATTACTTGTTTTAAGGCAAGATCCACCGAAGATTTAGCTCTACAACGAAGTTTCTCTTAAGATATCAACTATCTATAAGAAAGAGAAGAAAAAGAGAAACGACGGTAAATTTAACTTCAAACTTATAGAAACTTACTTCAGATCTTTTAGAACAGACATAGAATCTCAGATCTATTGGTGATATATGGCCTTGGATCTCTCTAGAACCTTTGAGAAGTGTAAAAGAATGAAAATCTTGTGCAAAGCCCCCTATTTATAGGCAAAATTTTGAAAATTTTTTGTTGAGTACTATTCATCTTTTTAAAAAAAAAATTTAAAACTCCATCTAAATTTATTCCAATACCAAATAATCCTTCAATTAACATTTAACAAGTATAAAACATTACATATTACTCAATAATAAATTACAAGTCTGACATGTAATATATTGAATACCCTTGAATTTTCATAAACTGAATAAAAGAAATGTAAGTTTTACTTTTTTTTTTTCAATTCTTTAAGCTGTAAATATAAAGAAATTCACTTCATTTCCCTTCTTCATTATAACTTATTATCTATATAGAACAAAAAATTAAGGATGTTACACTTGTAGGTCAGATTCATTTATGGGTAGTGGTACTTCCTCTCTTTATATTAATTTTATTTATTTTGAAATGTATCTTTATTCTAATTTTATACTAATTTAATTATGTGAATTAGATTGACATATTACTTATGTAAATTAAGTTAAGTCAATCTTGTCTCATGTATAATCAAGTCGTAATTAGATAAAGTTTAAATATAAATAAGTAATTGTGTCAAAATTTATTTCAAATAGAAAATAACATAAACTTATCTTCTGAAGATTCCTGGTGACATTTAAGAAAGAGAATAGGGTATTCTAAAGACTCAAGTTGATGACTTAAGTACAAAGAAAGAGTCTAACCCTAAACACTAATATACTAGATGAGATGAGAAAACGGAAGTCTTTGAAGCAATAGCTAAGTGGCAAAGAGCAAGTAGGACATATGCATCATGTGCAAGGTTTGAACCTAATGTTTAGAAATTTTTCACATTCTCTCGTGCAATGACGAAAAAATTGAACATCTTATTCTACTTATTGTTTGTAAGATTCATAACATTATCACCACTTTAAGAGTCGTCAACTTTCACTTGGTTGATACTAATCTAGTGATAGGTAACTCTATTCACATGTTGTTTGACACTTTATACTTTAATCTAGCCTATTTTTTCTTTTGTGTAACCTAACTCTCAATGAAAATACCATTTGTTGATATTATTATTGAAGTATATACACTTAAAAGATTAATTTGTTAACCTAATTTGATGTCACACAAAATTTCACCTTTTTATAAACTTTGAATTAACATGAAATGGATGCATACGTGTGTTGTTATTTTCAAAATATTAATTTTCTTGTTAAATGTATGTCAAACTAAACTAAATTTTTTATTGGATTAAAAATTTAATATAAATTTTTATTATAAACTTTTTTTTTGTATTTAAAATAAAAATTTAAACAAATTACTTTATTTTAGATTTAATTAATTTTATTAAAATTAATTTTATAAAATTAAAAAATCTTAAATTTTGATTTACAAATGTTCGCTCACACTTGTCATGTAACACAATAATCCATCTTTCGATGAGTAAATGCAATAGAAGCTAGTCTCACCCTGTAATGGTTATGGTTATGCTAGTCTCACTTCATGACCACGTAGTACTCGTATCACTTTAAAGTATAAGTATGTTTGATAAGATAAATAAGCTAAATTCTAACTTATTTAATTAATTAAAAATCTGTTTAACTAAATTAGTTGGTAGATGAGCTTATTTCATTCCCTTTTAATAGCGTTTAAATTTATAAATTTCTTAACTTATTATCTTTTTTTTATATTTTATCTTCACGTTTCTTACAGTGACTTCTAAGACTTTCTCTAATTTTCATTCTCATCAAATATCATCGTGTTTATCGTATAAATAATCAAAATTATATTATAAATCTATTTACATTATTTCATTTTATTTGATTAAATTATTTGAAATGTGAATAAAGTTTTAAGAAAAAATATCCTAAATTTTAGGATGATAAATTTTACCAAATATTTTTAATTTAATTAATGAAGTTATTGGCTTTTAAATTCAATCTAAAAATTTAACCTTTTCAACTTCTATTAAAATTCTTTTTTTATAATATAAAATCATTAAAATTATGATATAAATTCATTTATATTATCTCGTTTCATTAAGTAAAAATATACAAAATGATAACAAAATAAAAAATACCCTTATTTAGCATGATAAATTATATAAAGTAAATTAAAATATAAAAAGTGATCATTATTAAAAAAAATATATAAAGTTATCAGATTTCATATTTTTTGCCAAGCAACTAAATGTCTTTCTATGTCATTTTAAATTTATAAACATTTGAACAATCAATTCACAAAATAATTTTAATCGAATTAGTCAACTTATCAACAAAGCTCCTTTGAATCCCATGTATAAGTTTTTCTTGTTACAAGATGTAATTTAATTTGTCAAATTTACAAGCACAAATAAAACTTGAGATTATTTATAAGTTGGTTCCTGAAAACATTTCATCCATTTTAAATTAAGTATCATTTTAACAATTTTAATAATATTTTTTAAAATTTAAATAAAAAATTATTTTTTTCTATTCTAATTTTACTCCAAAAAATAATGAATGTAGTCAATCTTTCTGCACTCAAAAAAATCAAAGATAATTTAATAAAATTATTCTACTAATTAAGATATTTATTATTTTTCTTAATTGTACACAATCTTTAAACTATTATTATATTCTGATTAATTTTTATTCAGATAATTTTAATTATTTGACAGCGTGAAACTTCTTAGAATGACAATGTATCAAGATTAAAAAATAAATAAAAATTATTCAATACTTAGTGAAAGAGTTTAAAGATCCCTGGCTAGTTTTAAGTATATTGTGGTAACAATTCATTTATATACGTGCTGAATAATAATCTCAATTCGGTCAAACGTAAATTCACCTCAATTTGCAACCAAATTTAGATACCTGATTTGTCATAACAGGAAATAAACAAAGCATAAGAGGACTGACGTTTCTTTCTTCCCGGTATTGTATTTGCTGATTGATACGTGCTTGAAAGGTCGTTAAGGCAAAAGTTTGATGAGGGATAGGCAACGAAGTAAAAAACCTAACTCTAGAGATTCCATCAAGCTCGTTTAGCAAAGGCATTAGTTTCACAATAGTCGTTCCTGAAATTTTCTTCAAATGAACCTCCAAAATCTCTACCATGTTCACCCACATTGCTGTTTTGATTGCTCCCAATTTGGCCACTGCTGCCATATCCAAGTACTCCACTTCCATCATGTCCACCGCCAAGGCTGCTGCCTGTACCAGAACCACCCCTGCCATACCCCACGACACTTCCAGAGTATTGACTACTGGCAATACTGCCACCACTACCAGCACTTCCATAACTACCGCTACCACCAAATCCAGCAGCAGTGCCATAGCTACCATAACCACCACCAGGAGCACTACCATAGTTACCGGTGCTACTTTCTCCAATTGTTCCATCCTTGCAAGTGTTTCCACTTGAAAAGCTACCACCATTCCAGCAATTCATTCCACTTCCACTATAACCACCACCAGCACCATATTTACTTACAGAGCTGCTTCCCCCTAAATTGCCACCTGACCCTCCACCATATCCACTGCTGCCATAACCTCCAGCAGCATTGCCCCCGTAGGCACTGGCATCACCATAGTTATTGCCAGAGCTGCTGCCCCCTAAATTGCCACCTGACCCTCCACCATATCCACTGGCTCCATAACTTCCAGTAACATTGCCACCATAGGCACCGGCATCACTATATTTATTGCCAGAGCTGCTGCTGCTGCTGCTGCCAAAATTGCCACCTGAACCAATGTCACCTCCACCATATCCACTGCTACCATATCCCCCAGCAGCATTGCCGCCACAGGCACCAGAATCACCATAGTTACTGCCAGAGCTGCTGACCCCTAAATTCCCAGCTGATCCATAGCCATATCCACCACTGCCATAACCTCCAGTGGCATTGCCACCTCCACTGCTACCATAACCCCCAGCAGCATTGCCACCATAGGCACCAGAATCACCATAGTTACTGCCAGAGCTGCTGACCCCTAAATTCCCACCTGATCCATAGCCACCTTCGCCATATCCACCACTGCCATAACCTCCAGTGGCATTGCCACCACCAGTATTACCATACCCACCACTAGTAGCAGCACCATATGGAGAGTTACCATAATTAGCTGGATATCCAGTGCCAGCTCCAGCACCATAGGGAGCGCTGCCATACGATCCATCAAAACCACCACCACCACCAAATCCACGTGGTCTTTCATTAGCAAAGTTTACCCTAACCTGGCGACCATGCAGATCCTGAAAAAACCTTAACACTCACAATGAAATGAAAAGAAAAAGGAAGAAAGGTAACAGTAACAATGTTTATCATTATATTTGCAAAATTAAATTAACATGAAGTGTCAAAAAAGGATTGATAAGTATTGAAACTACAAGATATTAAGCATTGCTGCTAACGTGAAAAACTAGCTTGCATGTTACCTATTAAATGAAGTAACATGAATAGCAGGTAACTGCCGGGATGATGTTCTCTCTTTCTCTGTGTTTTCAATGATTAACCTCATATGATAAATGATAATTTGTCTAAAGTATAGACATGAATTATGAAAGAAACATTATGGTGTCATTTCATCCATGTAGCAAACCCCACCTAGTGGCGAAAAAAATTCGGTTGCTGCTGTTGTGTCATTAGGACCAATACTAATAGCAATAGCCAATTGGCAGTCACATAAATAAGTGGATTACACGATTGCTAACACAACCCAAAACCTAGATATCTTTAACAAGCAACCACTGCATTTCCAAGGACATTAGAGCAAACAGAAAATTTTCAAACTCTCAACAAATTCAAACACAAAGCATTGACATTTGACAGTCAACCAAGTACACAGAATTTATACCAACATACAGCACAGAAGCTTCCACAAATTTAGTGACATTTATGTAGCCTCAGCAAGTTTATATGTATACATGATCATTCTGCAAAATGTGATCAGTGCATAATATGCTTTACCTGTCCATCCAAGGCCTGAAGGGCACTTGAAGCCTCCTCAACTGTATCATAAGTAATAAAGCCAAATCCTCTGGACCTACCAGTTTCACGATCCATGACTATCCTCGCTACAAGAAAATGAGATTAAACAATTAATACTGACTTGAATGAACACAATGATTTCAACAGGATTCATAGGAAACAACGACTATCTCCCAGAAAATAAAAATATAAAACACAAAAGAGAGCAGAGAATCTGACTACTTACCATCAACAACTTGGCCATACTTTGAGAAAACTTCCCTCAAACTTTGCTCATCAGTAGAATATGAGACACCTGTAATCAGATAAGCGTACATATATTCATTCTCAATCATTATCATCAACTAAAGAAGAAAGAAAAGTCACAAATAAACCCCTTCATGATTGTAAAATAGAGCACATGCTGCATAAAATGCACCTCCTATATACAGCCTTGAACTTGGAGCATTTGACATGCACCGTATAGTTTGGAAAACAGATGGAAATAAACATAACTCTGAACTGATCTTCTTATTCGTTGCTTGCCTCAGTATATGCCCAACTCTACCAAGTAAAGCCATCCCTGCAACCTGAGGGAAACCATTAATACTTAAGCTATATATTATGTATGTCAAGTTCAAAACACAACATATCATAATATATCAACAACTAATGTATACCTCAAACGTCAATTATACACCAAATTCTTCCAAACTATTTACATTTCACAAAAATAAATAAATATATAAATAAGATGTCCTTATTTCTGTGCCAAACAAAAACATACAGCTTAAACCCTTCGGCAATTCAAACTTCTTCACCAAGGAAAAAGAACAGTAAATAATAATAATAAATTCACAAATTATCATTAACAAATCTCCTTTCAATTAAAAAACGGAGTTCAAACATTTTCAATCACATTTTTCTTCTGGTTTTAATTCAGGCATCAGAAGGAGTTCGATTGATCACACACAAAGGTAAAGCACTGGCCAAACAGAAAACAGAGAAAAAATTATATCAGTGCTAGAAAAACAAGGCAAAGGAAATTTTCAAAAAGAAAAAGCAGAGGAAGAATGAATTGCAGGGAGATGAACGATATTGATAAAGGGTTGATGGAAGTATGCGTACTTTCCCTGTGTTCTCTGTTCTCTTCTCTTCTGTGCAGCGCTAAAACCCTAGGGAAATGGGTTTATGTGGGAACGTTAATAGTTTCAGTTGCTATCAGCCCTTGATTCGGACAGGGAAAAAGGTAACCCTTCGATGCCACTTAACCCCTCCCTCTCCAAGGATTATTTCTCCTTTGAGGTCCATGATACGCTGTCGTATAACCACGCTGCAGACTGAATTTGTAGGCTCATTTACTAAAATAATTACTTTCAAAATTTAATTATCAAATTAACGTTGTTTGGAAATATTTTAGGTGTTTGCTCTCGTCTTCGTGGATTTGAGGACCATCTAATCGCCCTTAAGTATATTTTAAATTGGTAGATGTATTTTAAATAAAATAAATAGTTTAAATTTTTAACATATAACTTAATAATATTAATTTTTACATATTTATTATTTAATTTATGTAAAATTTTATAAAATTACTTTTTAAACTTTTAAAATTTGTTATTTTATATTTTTATATAATTATATTTATAGTTATTTTTTTTATCTTTTTAAACAAATATTGTATATGTCTCATATTTAACTTGTAATTTTAAGAATGTCTGTATTCAAATGTATTAACAAAGATTTAATTTATAATTAAAAATAATTTTTAATTAAAAAATTGAATGTTATTTTAGATCTTTAAAATTTTCTACAAATCTTATGCATGAATTCATGATTTTTAAATTAAAATTTTACATTCATTTTTATATTCTTAATTTATTATAAAAATTAACTTTTGTATTGATAGATTGATTAATGTTATTTTAAAAAAAAAATTAATGCTCTTCTTCTACATTCATATTTACTTCCCATAATTTTTTTAAATTTTGTTTAAGTCATATTTTTCTTATTTAAGTGAAAGTTATAGGAAAAAAATGGCTCATTTGATGAATATAGCTTAAGTGATTATTAATTTGCTTAAGTCACACAAAATATTTTAATATTTGCTTAAGTGAATAAAGTCTAATTTAAGCAAAGGTTGAGTTTGAATATCATATTTTTGCTTAAATTAAATTATCATGGCATAAGTGAAATTGATTTATTTTAAATTAAAAATAATAACTTAAGTAAATATTAATAAAATTTGTATATTTATCACTGTATAAAATTAGTTTAAGGTATAGCATAAGTGAAAATTACAAAAAAAAAAATTTTTTTGTATTTTTTAACATTCAACTACATTTTTTAGTCATTATTCATATTTTAATCTAGCCAAGTTGTTCTTTTCTAAGAAAATTAGAATAAATATATGATATTTATAAATTTAATTAGTTTTATTTATAAATATTACAATTCAAAGTAAGACAATGTAAAAAGTGTATGGTTATTTAAGTTGTTAGATTTAACAAACATGTCTACATACTAGTTGGTATAAGAAAATAAAGAGGAATTGAACAAAGCTTAATTCTACAATACTATTTCAAACAAGAATTACTTAATTTTATTTGATTTCTTACCTTAGATATTTTTTTTAAACTCTTATTGCTTAAATTTTAACCACAACTACTAAAACTATTGAACTAACTATTAGAAACACAAAAAAAAAAAATGTTTGGATTAGTTTTAGAAACAAATACGAGAGAGAGTGATATTGAGAGAATAAAGTTGAGTTTTTTACAAATAAAAAAAGAAATTAAATTCATAATTGTTATGTTTTTAAAAGATAAAAAAATATTTTTAAAAGACTCATTTTAAATATATAATACTTAAAAAAAATTATTCTACAAAATTTATTAAAGATTAAATTATAAAAGAGAAAAATTTTTTCACACTAGTATACGTCTAAAAATTCTTATATTCGATTTTAATTTTTTTATTTAACTTATATTTAATGGCCAGTGAAATAATAAATTATAACCTGCTAATGTAAGTTAAATAAAAAATTTAGATCAAATATAAATTTTTTTAACTTATATTAGTGTAAAAAAACTTACTCTAATTATAAATATTATAATTTTTAAAGTCTATTATAACATATTATCTTGTTAACTTATTTATGAATTATATAATACACTAATTCACGTTAAATTTAATATTTACTATGCTTTGTCTATTTAAAATAAATGGATATCTTTTATAATTTGTATAGTGCTTGAGAATACAAAGAACGGTTGAATAAAAGCATTTATTTATATATTTAGAGTCTAGCATAACTAACTCTCAACTGTGCGAAAGACAATTCATATCAAAAGATGAGAGTAAAATTAAGATAAAAAATCAGTTTAAACGTATTGATAAAATATTTTAAATTTATTTTCTAAATATTTTATTTTAACATAAATTTTTAAATAAATACTCTTATATAATATTTACATATACATTATTATTATTATTATTATTATATCTTGTAAAATATGTAAAGCAAAATTTAAAACTTCAATTAACTTAATTGTTTATGATTTATTTTTTATTTATTACTTGATATATTACATAATATTAAAATTTATTTAACATAGATGCATCAATGAGACAGAAATTTGGATGAAGAAAAAACTATGTGATATTAATAGATTGAAGAGAAAACTATTTAGGATACATTTTGTTGAACTATAAGTTAAGTAGATATTTAAAAAATTCACTAAGAATAACATAGCTGAAAAAATGGGAAATAACTGATCCATTAAGACTAATGACAGATTACAACTTACAAGTAAAATATTTGGACTTATTCAAACTGACTGAGTTTCCTAAAAATATGCAACATTCAAAGGCTCATAACCGTCTCACTCCTTCACTTCAAGTAAATACTCTGACGTCAGTGACGTGCATACCTTCTTATTTAACCATTCTTTTCTTCTGCACAGCTGCAGACTCAAGACACACAATGACAAACTGTCATATGTTGCTCTCGGTTTCCTCGTTCCTTGGCTTCCCTTGATCTGGGAACAATGAGTCTCTTTCAGCGTAAGTTTACACGTGTGTGTGTTTTTTCGTACGTGCTTATTAATTATTTGCCATTAAGAATCCGATAAACGTCCAAAAAAGATACTTTTACTTTTTTGTAAGTTAAAATATAATTTTTAACATTGAAATGAATTATTTTATTCAACTGTTGTGAATAATACTTGTTAGATTGATGTTTGACCTTGTAATTCAGATCTCTGCGTAACCATTGGAAAGATCCTAAATAAACACTAAAATCATGCATACATAATTCCTTCTTCGTCAACTTAAATAAATATATATCACTCCCTCACATATTTGTGTATGTACACAGGATTGAAATAAAAAATAATTTTTTACAATGTTATTTATTTTTTTCATTTTTATTTTTCTTTATTTAATTAGGTGTGAGCTTATTTCTTATAAAAAAATGTGATCCAACGTAGACATAAGAAAAGAAGAGAGGGAATTAAGAGACATAGTTGACCATATAACAAAAAAAAAAAGATGAAAATTATTAAATTTATCAAAATGATTAAAAGTTAAAATTACTTTTTGGTAGAAATGTATTTTCTCTCTAATAAAATATTATTGTGATTTGAATTTTGCAGGGAGACACATTTCAGAAATATGTAAAGCGGTTTAGAGTACTCATTATTTGTCAAGTACTGCTTGTGGTTATTAGCTAAGCTTGGTATCATAGCTGCAGACAAATCTGAAGGTTCTAATTTGTTTTTCTACTTCTTTCGCCTTGTCCCTTTCACATTCAATTAAAATCATGTAAGTAAATATTATGCCAAGTGAAGTTTTTGGTTTTAAAAAATAATTACTTTTTTTTAAAAGGAAAAACTTTATCATAAATTTGACAATATATATAGACATAAATACAAGTGAATTAACTATACACTTTTATACTCACTAATTTTTATCCAAAATTTGATTGTTGCAGTGATTGGCACAACATTTACGTTGAACATGCTCTTCCACGTTTCGTTATGGGCAGGAGTTCTATTGACTGGGTGCAGCACCCTCTTATTTCTGAGTCTGCAGAGATTTGGGGTAATTTAGCTTTGTGTAATAATTAAAACATATCATATCATTTAAGATATTACAATTTCATAGTAATGTTTAACTTTTTAATATTTTTTTCATTATTTGTCAATTGGAAACAGGTAAGAATTAACAAACACAATTTAAATTTGTCTTATACTCAACTTGGACTTCCAGTCTTACTTTTTATATTTTCATGGAACTGTTACTATTATTAATGTCCACTTTATCACGACTTTCTACTATTATATTTAAATATATTTATGATTTAATATGATATTATGCTTTATCTGTTGAAAATAGATTATTGTCTTTTATTGTTTCTACCATTTGTGCAATTTTAAAGAATAAAAAGAAAAATAGATTTCATAATTAAAAAAAGTTAAGTATAATTTTTTAAAAAAATTAGTAAATCATTTATTTTAAAATTAAGTAGAATTAATTTTAATAATATTAATTTGAACTAATATTATGTTTCAAATTTAACTTTAGCTATAACGAGTTAGTTAACTATGATTCACCTAATTTGGATCGAATAATTATGATTAAAACATATATGACGGTTGGAGAAATTGATTATGTAAGTTAACTTAGTATATATATTCTCCACTACAATGTAGTTAAACTCTAAACGTAAAATTTGAAGATAATAACTTATTTAAATATATTGGGGTGTTTGAACAAGAAAGGAAGTTAGAACTATTGATATTGAACTTAGTTTTTGTAATGACTAATGTTCTTTTAGAGAAATGAGGTACGCAAAGCTTCGTGATTCTGATGTATTAAATAGAATATTCATCTCAAAACGCAACAGTCAAGGAGCCACCCACGATGCTATAATTAATTTAATGTTCTAATACATCGTTCAAAATGAATATTGTTAACTAGTAAATTGATAAACATGTTAAAATTTTATT